GGTTAAAACTGATTTTAGATAGACAAAATACTTATTGACCTAAGTAAGAGTTGTCTGGGTGTATGGTGTAATGGTTAGCACTCTGGACTCTGAATCCAGTGATCCAAGTTCAAATCTCGGAAGGACCTTTGTTTTGGTAAAAATAAAAAAGATTTCATGTTTTCCTTGTTTTAACTGTTTAGAGACAAAAAACTTAGTAACAGTGCCAAGATTTATCTGTTTTTATGGTGTAAAGGTTAGAACTCTGGACTCTGAATCCAGTGATCTGAGTTCAAATCTCGGTAGGACCTTTTTTCTGCTAACAATAAAAAAATTTCAGTGTTTTGCTGGCTAAAACTGGTTGAAGATAGACATAGGACGTATTATCTCAAATATTAAATGTCTGGTTCTATGGTGTAATGGTTAGCACTCTGGACTTTGAATCCAGCGATCTGAGTTCAAATCTCGGTAGGACCATTTTTTTGTTGAAAAAAAAAATATTTCATGTTTTCCTTGTTTCAACTGGTTAGAGATAGACAAAAAACTTAGTATCTCAGATAAGAAACATGTGGTTCTATTGTGTAATTGTTAGCACTCTGCACTTTGAATCCAGCGATCCGAGTTCAAATCTTGGTAGGACCTTTTCCATCTGCTAACCATTAAAGAGGTTTATTGTTTTGCCGGTTAAAACTGATTTTAGATACACAAAATAATTATTGACCTAAGAAAGAGATGTCTGGTTGTATGGTGTAATGGTTAGCACTCTGGACTCTGAATCCAGTGATCCAAGTTCAAATCTCGGAAGGACCTTTGTTTTGGTAAAAATAAAAAAGATTTCATGTTTTCCTTGTTTTAACTGTTTAGAGACAAAAAACTTAGTAACAGTGCCAAGATTTATCTGGTTTTATGGTGTAAAGGTTAGAACTCTGGACTCTGAATCCAGTGATCTGAGTTCAAATCTCGGTAGGACCTTTTTTCTGCTAACAATAAAAAAATGTCAGTGTTTTGCTGGCTAAAACTGGTTGAAGATAGACATAGGACGTATTATCTCAAATATTAAATGTCTGGTTGTATGGTGTAATGGTTAGCACTCTGGACTTTGAATCCAGCGATCTGAGTTCAAATCTCGGTAGGACCATTTTTTTGTTAAAAAAAAACAAATATTTCATGTTTTCCTTGTTTCAACTGGTTAGAGATAGACAAAAAACTTAGTATCTCAGATAAGAAACATGTGGTTCTATTGTGTAATTGTTAGCACTCTGCACTTTGAATCCAGCGATCCGAGTTCAAATCTTGGTAGGACATTTTCTTTCTGCTAACCATTAAAGAGGTTTATTGTTTTGCCGGTTAAAACTGATTTTAGATACACAAAATAATTATTGACCTAAGAAAGAGATGTCTGGTTGTATGGTGTAATGGTTAGCACTCTGGACTCTGAATCCAGTGATCCAAGTTCAAATCTCGGAAGGCCCTTTGTTTTGGTAAAAATAAAAAAGATTTCATGTTTTCCTTGTTTTAACTGTTTAGAGACAAAAAACTTAGTAACAGTGCCAAGATTTATCTGGTTTTATGGTGTAAAGGTTAGAACTCTGGACTCTGAATCCAGTGATCTGAGTTCAAATTTCGGTAGGACCTTTTTTCTGCTAACAATAAAAAAATTTCAGTGTTTTGCTGGCTAAAACTGGTTGAAGATAGACATAGGACGTATTATCTCAAATATTAAATGTCTGGTTCTATGGTGTAATGGTTAGCACTCTGGACTTTGAATCCAGCGATCTGAGTTCAAATCTCGGTAGGACCATTTTTTTGTTAAAAAAAACAAATATTTCATGTTTTCCTTGTTTCAACTGGTTAGAGATAGACAAAAAACTTAGTATCTCAGATAAGAAACATGTGGTTCTATTGTGTAATTGTTAGCACTCTGCACTTTGAATCCAGCGATCCGAGTTCAAATCTTGGTAGGACCTTTTCTTTCTGCTAACCATTAAAGAGGTTTATTGTTTTGCCGGTTAAAACTGATTTTAGATACACAAAATAATTATTGACCTAAGAAAGAGATGTCTGGTTGTATGGTGTAATGGTTAGCACTCTGGACTCTGAATCCAGTGATCCAAGTTCAAATCTTGGAAGGACCTTTGTTTTGGTAAAAATAAAAAAGATTTCATGTTTTCCTTGTTTTAACTGTTTAGAGACAAAAAACTTAGTAAAAGTGCCAAGATTTATCTGGTTTTATGGTGTAAAGGTTAGCACTCTGGACTCTGAATCCAGTGATCTGAGTTCAAATTTTAGTAGGACCTTTGTTTTGGTAAAAATAAAAAAGATTTAATGTTTTACCATTTTCCACTGGTTTTAGATAGACAAACAACTTAGTAACTGTGCGAAGATTTATCAGGTTCTATGGTGTAATGGTTAGCACGCTGTACTCTGAATCCAGCAATCTGAGTTCAAATCTCGGTAGGACATTTATTTTAGTAAAAATAAAAAAGATTTCATGTTTTCCTTGTTTTAACTGTTTGTAGATAGACAAAGAACTTAGTAACTGTGCCAAGATTTATCAGGTTATGTGGTTTAATGGTTAGCACTCTGGACTTGCAATCCAGTGTTCCGAGTTCAAAAATCAATAGGACATTTTTTTTGGTAAAAATAAAAAAGATTTCATGTTTTCCTTGTTTTAACTGTTTGTAGATAGAGAAAGAACTTAGTAACTGTGCTAAGATTTATCAGGTTCTATGGTGTAATTGTTTGCACTCTGGACTCTGAATCTAGCGAACTGAGTTCATATCTCGGTAGGACCTTTTTTCTGCTAACATTAAAAAAAATTCAGTATTTTGCTGGCTAAAACTGGTTATATCAGTAAGACCTTTGTTTTGGTAAAAATAAAAAAGAGTTCAAATCTCAAAGCTAAAATTTAGCAGGTACTATGGTGTAAGCGTTAGCTCTCTGGATTCTGAATCCATGGATTCGAGTTCAAATCTCGGTAGGACCATTTAAAAAAAAAAAAATATATATATATATATATATATATATATATATATATATATATATATTAAGTTATTATATTATTACATATATGAAGAGAAAGAGCATATATTATTAAGTTATTATTATATATATATATATATATATATATATATATTCCATGTTTTCCTTGTTTCAACTGGTTTTAGATAGATAAAGATCTTAGTAACTGTGTGAAGATTTATCAGGTTCTATGGTGTAAATGTTAGCACTCTGGACTCTGAATCCAGTGATCTGAGTTAATATCTCAGTAGGACCTTTATTTTGGTAAAAATAAAAAAGATTTCATGTTTTACCCTTTTCAACTGGTTTTAGATAGACAAAGAACTTAGAAACTGTGCTAAGATTTTTCAGGTTCTATGTTGTAATGGTTAGCACTCTGGACTCTAAATCCAGCGATCCGAGTTCAAATCTCGGTAGGACCTTTTTTTTCTGCTAACAATAAAAAAAATATTGTGTTTTGCTGGTGAAAACAGTTTGAAGATAGACATAGGACTTATTATCTCAAATATTAAGTGTGTGGTTCTATGGTGTAATGGTTAGCACTCTGGACTTTGAATGCAGCGGTCCGAGTTCAAATCTCGGTAAGACTTTTATTTTGGTAAAAATAAAAAAAGATTTCATGTTTTCCTTGTTTTAACTGTTTGTAGATAGACAAAGAACTTAGTAACTGTGCTAAGATTTATCAGGTTCTATGGTGTAATGGTTAGCACTCTGGACTCCCAATCCAGTGATCCGAGTTCAAATATCAGTAGGACCTTTTTTTTGGTAAAAATAAAAAAGATTTCATGTTTTACCCTTTCAACTGGTTTTAGATAGACAAAAAACTTAGAAACTGTGCTAAGATTTATCAGGTTCTATGGTGTAATGGTTAGCACTCTGGACTCTGAATCCAGCGATCCGAGGTCAAATCTCGGTAGGACCTTTTTTTCTGCTAACAATAAAAAAATATTGTGTTTTGCTGGTGAAAACTGGTTGAAGATAGACATAGGACTTATTATCTCAACTATTAAGTGTGTGGTTTTATGGTGTAATGGTTAGCACTCTGGACTTTGAATCCAGCGATCCGAGTTCAAATCTTGGTAGGAACTTTTCTTTCTGCTAACCATTAAAGAGGTTTATAGGTTTACCGGTTAAAACTGATTTTAGATAGACAAAACACTTATTAACTAAAGTAAGAGTTGTCTGGCTGCGTGGTGTAATGGTTAGCACTCTGTACTCTGAATCCAGTGATCTGAGTTAAAATTTTAGTAGGACCTTTGTTTTGGTAAAAATAAAAAAGATTTAATGTTTTACCCTTTTCCACTGGTTTGAGATAGACAAATAACTTAGTAACTGTGCTAAGATTTATCAGGTTCTATGGTGTAATGGTTAGCACGCTGGACTCTGAATCCAGCAATCTGAGTTCAAATCACGGTAGGACACTTATTTTGGTAAAACAAAAAAGATTTCATGTTTTCCTTGTTTTAACTGTTTGTAGATAGACAAAGAACTTAGTAACTGTGCCAAGATTTATCAGGTTCTATGGTGTAATGGTTAGCACTCTGGACTCTGAATCCAGCGATCCGAGTTCAAATCTCGGTAGGACCTTTTTTTTCTGCTAACCATTAAAGAGGTTTATTGTTTTGCCGGTTAAAACTGATTTTAGATAGACAAAATACTTATTGACCTAAGTAGGAGTTGTCTGGTTGTATGGTGTTATGGTTAGCACTCTGGACGCTGAATCCAGTGATCCAAGTTTAAATCTCGGTAGGACCTTTGTTTTGGTAAAAATAAAAAAGATTTTAGGTTTTCCTTGTTTTAACTGTTTAGAGACAAAAAAATTAGTAACTGTGCCAAAATTTATCTGGTTATATGGTGTAAAGGTTAGCACTCTGGACTCTGAATCCAGTGATCTGAGTTCAAATTTTAGTAGGACCTTTGTTTTGGTAAAAATAAAAAAGATTTAATGTTTTACCCATTTCGGTAGCACTTTTTTTTCTGCTAACCAAAAAAGAGGTTTATTGGTTTACCGGTTAAAACTGATTTTAGATAGACAAAACACTTATTAACAAAAGTAAGAGTTGTCTGGTTGCGTGGTGTAACGGTTAGCACTCTGTACTCTGAATCCAGTGATCCGAGATAAAATCTCAGTAGGACCTTTATTTTGGTAAAAATAAAAAAGATTTCATGTTTTACCCTTTTCAACTGGTTTTAGATAGACAGAAACTGCGCTAAGATTTATCAGGTTCTATGTTGTAATGGTTAGCACTCTGGACTCTGAATCCAGCGATCCGAGTTCAAATCTCGGTAGGACCTTTTTTTCTGCCAACAATAAAAAAAAATATTGTGTTTTGCTGGTGAAAACAGTTTGAAGATAGACATAGGACTTATTATCTCAACTATTAAGTGTGTGGTTCTATGGTGTAATGGTTAGCACTCTGGACTTTGAATGCAGCGGTCCGAGTTCAAATCTCGGTAGGACTTTTTTTCTGCTAACCATTAAAGAGGTTTATTGTTTTGCCAGTTAAAACTGATTTTAGATAGAAAAAATACTTATTAACTAAATTACAATCAGCAATCTGAGTTCAAATCTTGGTAGGACCTTTATTTTGGTAAAAAGAAAAAAGAGTTCATGTTTTCCTTTTTTAACTGTTTGGAGACAAAAAAACTTAGTAACTGTGCCAAGATTTGTCAGGTTCTATGGTGTAATGGTTAGCCCTCTGGACTCTATATCAAGTGATCCGAGTTCAAATATCAGTAAGACCTTTGTTTTGGTAAAAATAAAAAAGAGTTCAAATCTCAAAGCTAAAATTTAGCAGGTACTATGGTGTAAGCGTTAGCTCTCTGGA